ATGTAGAGAGCAAGGATTCCTTTAGTTAAACTGCTGACGATAGGTAAGGAAAAATTTGAATGGAATCTTGCTGCAGTATGTATACTGTCGTTTGTCATACAAGTATATGAAATCATTCCAAGTTTGAACATATAAGACTACCTGTACTTGAATGTCAGGCAGCGAGAAGTCTGTTATGAGTAAGGGGATCATTATTTGCTTTGGTCTGTTACAGAAGCAATGCCGTCATTTTGTGCCTGTGGGATGCTCATTTTCCTCAGTCTTTTCCTTATTTCATTTACACCACATTGCAATAGAGGAAACATTCTTGTGGTTCCTGTAGATGGCAGCCACTGGGTCAATCTGAAAATCCTTCTCGAAGAACTTCATGCCAGGGGACACAACCTCACTGTGATCAGGCCGTCTACCAGCTGGTACATCTCTGAAAAGTCTGATCTTTACACATCCATTACAATTGAAATGGATGAAGATCTTGAGCATTTTTTAGATGGGTCCATAGAGGAATACATCAGGGTATGTGACATCTTTGGCTCCATTTGATGGGGAAATTAAGTAATTTGTGTGTGATAAACATGTTTTAAACACTCTTTCCATTTTTAGATGCAAAGAGAGCGAGCTTCACTGCTGAATTCCTTCAAATGTATAAAAAAATCCCTCTCTATGATTTTTCAATTCCATTCATTGTGGTCTGAGTTCATAAATCAAATCCTTGATGATCAAAATATGGTGAAAATATTAGTAGTTTCCCAGTATGATCTGCTTCTAACTGATCCTGCCATGCCATCAGGGGCTGTTCTAGCCAAATATCTCAAACTTCCATTAGTACTTTATGTACACTGGATCCCTAGAGGGGAAGGCCACTTTGTGTTGACCCCTTCGCCACTCTCGTATATCCCGGTGCTAGGATCTGGTTTAACAGACCAAATGAGCTTTATCCAGAGGATCAAAAATAAAATTTTCTATATCTTTACCTTGTTCCAGCAGAACTTTATTTTTCTGCCAATCTATGATGACATGTGTAATAAGTATATTGAGGGTGGATGTGATGTCATCTCAGTACTACAGGAAGCAGACATTTGGTTGATCAGATCAGATTTTGTGTTCGAGTTCCCTCGCCCCACTATGCCAAACATAGACTATATAGCAGGATTTCAGTGCAAACCAGCTCGGCCTCTGCCAGCAGAGCTGGAGGAGTTTGTTCAGAGTGCCGGGAAGCATGGAGTCATCATCATGAGCCTGGGAACTTATGTCGATGCTTTGCCCAAAGAGGTTACAGATGAAATCACCAGTGCCTTTGCCGAGATGCCCCAGAAGGTAACAAAATGCTGCAGGCTTTGTTTTGTCTCTTAATTGCACAGGTTAACACTATGCTTATGTAACAGAATGATTCTTCTTGTCAAGTTGCCTCTTCATGTAGAAAGATAAGTGCTCTTACTCAACATTGTGAGCTGAAATGTATTTTTTTTTTGTTTTTCTGTTCAGGTGATCTGGAAGCATAAAGGAGACCCACCCTCTACACTGGGAAACAACACACTAATAGTCGACTGGATGCCACAGAAAGATCTTCTGGGTCATCCACAGACCAAAGTCTTTGTAGCCCATGGAGGAACTAATGGTGTCCAGGAGACCATTTACTATGGGGTCCCTGTGCTCGGCATACCCTTGTTCTTCAACCAGTATGACAACCTTCTACGACTGCAGGAGAGAGGAGCTGGAAAGATTATTCAGCTGGCTGATGTTAATGGCCACAGTTTTGAGCAAGGCCTTAAGGAAGTGATCCACCAAGAGAGCTACAGGCAGAACATTCAAAGACTGTCACGTTTGCACA